AAAAGAAAAAAGCTGGGCATGCCTGTAATCCCAGCACTCAGAAGGTTGAGACAGGAGGATCTTTGCAAGTTGAAGACCAACCTGGGCTACACAGTGAGCTCAAGGCCAACCTTAACTGCATAGTGAGACTCTGTCTCAAAAAGACAAAAAAAAAAATTTGAGAAGATTTTAAAAATTAAAATTTAAAAAAATTTAAAAAGCTGAAACTAAAAAAAAAAAAAAAAAAAAAAGAAAAAAGGAAAAAAACCCTTATGCCGCTTTTACAGATGAGCTGTCTCAAGCCGTGTGCTTGGGCTTGATGCCAGCTGAGAGCAGAAGGGCATGCTGGGCAAGAGCTCTAATACTAAGCTATCTCCCCTGACCTGCATTTTCTTCACTTATTTTTACTAACATCCAGCAGGGATGCTCAAAAAGATAAAGAATCCTTCTCTATGGTCATACAACCTGGGAGTAGCTTAGGACAGATTCAAATCTGCAAAATTCTGTCTCCAAAATCCATAGATGTCCCATTTCCAACTTGCTCAAACTCAGGATCAGCTGTGAGGACCTGTCTCCAGTCTTTCTCACATTTCAAAGCATCAGGCAGAGAGTGGTCAGATAGAGGCACAGGCCCATCAGACAAAGGCACCCAGGATATGGGAGAATTGACCTCCCACCCTCAACCACACCATGGGAGCACAGCCCACTCTTTGGTCTGGCCCATGAGTGCCCAGGGCTGCTGCTTCCCTGAAAGATAAAGCCAGAGGCCTCTATAGGCCCCTGTATGTTACCTCCCTGGAGACACTGAGGCTAGAGAACCTTCAAACAGATTTCCAAGGGACACAGTAGTTGGTGGCTCAAGCTGTTGGGCCATTGGATTCCAATAGACTTTCAGCCTCTTGTGGCACTGCCATGCTGTCTATGCTCTCATCTGTAAAATGGGTTCATAATGCAGCCCTGTTCTGCACTGTGTAAACCCCCAGAGTTCTCTGAGCACCCATGTCCTGTGTGTGTGATTGTCCACTAAACTGAGAGAACACAGTGTTCAGAACAAGACAGAGCAAGGCATCCTGGTGGTCAGCTCACTCATTTTAGTCTAAGTCCCTTGTTTGTTTTTGTTTTTTGAGACAGAGTCTCATTATGTAATTCAGGCTGGACTTGAACTCATGGAGATCCTCCTGCCTCAGTCTCCTGAGTGCTAGGAATATAGGCATGCATCACCATTAAATTCTTTTTTTATGGTGAGAGAAACAGGTCTTTGAGGCAGGGATTTTTGCTGAGGCTGGGCAGAGCTGCTCTGTGCAGATAGAACAGGCACTATTTGTGTTGCCAGAGACTCACTCTGGATGCCTCATGGCAGGTGGGAAACATGAGAGACCTGAGTTTCCATCCAAGCCCTGCTGGTTTGGGGCTGAATGACCATAGCCGGTTTCTTCTACACAATGCATATGACCTAGCGATGGAGAGACACAGTTCCAGGTAGTAGAAGCTCTGAGGTCTGTGTAAGAGCTCATCTGCCCACCTAGGGCTTGCGTGGACCTTCACAAGCCTCTTCCAGACCCCTGACTCAAAGACCTCTGGGTCTTTGCATGTGTGGGTTGCCAACTTCACCCTACCCACTACATGGACCCAGCATTTACTATGTGCTGCATTCTGTGTCTATTATTATTGCTGTTATCTTTTATTATTTTTTATTATTTTATAATATCTTTATTTTATTATTTTATAGTATCTTTTATTATTGTTGTTATTGTTATGTCTATTATTACTGTTGTTATTATTATTTGGTACTGGAGATTGAACCCAAAGCCTTTGAACTGAGTTATATCCCTAGTCCATTTTGAAATCTGTTTTTTTTGAAACAGGGTCTCACTAAATCACCTAGGGTGAGGGCTGGGGATATAGCTCAGTGGCACAAATGCCTGCCTGGCAAGTGCAAGGTCCTCAGTTTGATTCCTGGTACCAATAAATAAATAAATCACCCAGGCTGGGCTTGAATCTACTATCCTCCAGCCTCAGAGTCCTAGAGTGCTGGGGTTATAGGTAAACACCACTATGCCTGGCTGTATATTATCTGTTTAAACCAGTTTGTTTGTTTGTTTTGAGACGGGGTCTCAGACTGTCCTTGAACTCACGATATAGCCCTGGCTGGCATTGAAGTCACGGTGATTTTCCTGCCTCAGCCTCCCATGGGCTGGGATTACATAAGCCAGTTTAAAGATGAGAAGTCTAAAGCCACACTGAATCGATTGTCTGTTCAAATACATCTGGTCAAGTAGTGGGTTCTACTCAACCTATTTTTTGTTGTTGTTGCTGCTATACTGCACACACATGTAATCCCAGTACTCAGGAGGCTGAGCCAGGAGGATTGCTGTGAATTTGAGGCCAACTTGGGCTATATAGTGAGTTCAAGGCCAGACTGGACTAGACAGCCAGACCCTGTGTCAAAAAAAAAAAAAACAAAAAAGCCCCCAAAAAACCAGGGTCTGGGCATTTAGCTCAGCGGCACAGTGCCTACCTGGCAAGCGTGAGGTTGTGAGTTCGAGTTCCAGTACTGGAAAACAAACAAACAAACAAACAAAATACCCAAACAAACAACAACAACAACAAAAAAACCAAAAACTTTTTTATTTTTTTATTTTTATTTTTTATTTTA